GGAAGTTGTCACATGACATAATCATACTAGGTTATAAAATCAATGTTCCAGCAGTGGCATTTTGAGATGAGAAGATTTTCAGCTATAGAGACGTTGCCAGGAAATTCAACATGATACAGTCGCTTTTCATTATCATCGGCTTAATGTTCTGGCCCACTACAAGTATCAATTTAGGAGAGCTGCTAGGGGTACGTACTTCATAAAATTGTAGTAGTGTTTGAAGAATTTTTCATAAATTAAACTGAGAACATACTTTTTCATGTCTCCATGCATTTTAATTTTCAAGATATTCTAAACTTGGTATTTAAATTATATTTTCATATCACAAAACTTCTAAAAGGAGAAGTTGTTCGTTGTATAAGCAAATTTGAACATAGTAAAACATTCACGTCTATATGAAACTTATATTTCACGTAGTTGTAGATATATATATATATATATTTAAAAATGTAAAGATAAATTATATATGTCTCTAAACTAGATAAAATTAAGTAGCAGCATAATTTAGCCCTATATCTATTCACTATGGTAACCCTAATGAGGATCATCTGTCTAAAATCTTTATTTGCGAAGAAATTAATATCAGAGACAAAACAAAGCGACTGGAGTGTGAAAACGAGTAAACCGTGGACCTCCTCTTTTGCCAGAGAGTTAGCACAGTGTCCCATCATTCAAAGTCCAGTTTGATTATCGGTTGTTCTGGAACGAATCTGATTCACTAAGTAAGTCAAGTCCGATTGCAACCAAACGCTTCGATTCTCCAGCATTCGTACAGAGACGGCCAGTTAGCTAAAGCATTAAACACTATTTACAAAATTAATTATGGCTACAAAATCAAGATAAATAAATCTCGTTATTACATTAACCAGTTCAGCTACTGAGAAAACGCTACCTTCTTTCACACGAAAAATAATTTATCATCAAATTTAATCTCATAAAACGCACAGAATACCCGTTAATGTGGTGGTAAATTTAGAAATCATGTCTCTCTCAAAATGAAAGCTTATGTAATCCCATACACAAATGTTTCTTATTTCCAGTGCGAAAAGGATATAACAGTAGACTATATGGAACAGTGTCCAGAAGAAACAAATATGGCGGTTTCCTTCACAGACCTCTCCATTCAGCAAATTAACAAAGATCAATGCGCATTTAATGGAAAAATTGAGTTCTTGAAACCCGTTGGTGAACCTTGGAAGGTAAATATTATTCTCATAAAAACTGTTGCGGTGTCTCCATAAGTATCACGCTACCTGAACAATTACTGTTCTAAAATATCATTCTTTTATAAATCAAAAATTCAATACCATCGTCTCAAAAATATTAAGTACATGACGTTCGCCTAATTTGTTTTCTATACAATTTAAATACTTCAGCACATCTGTGTGCAGTGAAATATCTTTCAGGGTGAAGAGAATTTCGAATTTCAAAGATAATTTGTTCCAAGAGTTATCGACAGTATTAAATTCTTGCTTAGTCATGATTTAACAAAGGAAAGAATTAAACATACGCTGAAAACAGAACATTAATAATAATAATATATAATAATAAGAAAGACAATATATATAAAAGAGCGCGCTTTATAAAGAGAGTAGGATATTAACGGTATTTGAAACAGAAATCGAAAAGGAATCCAAACATATTTCCGGTCTCCGTCTTACCGACTTTCACTGCCACCTGGCGGAAACAAGCGTAACTATTTTGTTTTTGAACACGGTCCCAATATCCCAGTGTTTTAACAGCAAACAAACTAAGGATTTATATTTTATTACTGTTACTTAGATCATATACTCTCTTCATACAGGTTTTATATCATTAAGTGTCCAACATCTTAATTAGAATTCACTATTCTTCGTCGTGCATAATTAAGAATTTCTATGATTTTCCATTTCGTTATGAAAACTGTTATAAGACATTCCTCCAACAATTACTTTAACTTAGAGTATGTGAGTATGTAATGCGATATTACAGGTTTCCGTGCTACTTTAATAACCTGAGCCCATTTGAGAGAACACTTCGTAAGTATATTTTGTATCTACACATATTACGAGAAAAATAAAACACTACGTGTGAATATTTGGATTCTGACGGTTTACATTCGTAATGCAGAATTAATATTTATGTTCCCTTCTTTTCCAGCTCACGTTCCGGCTACGTAAGTGCAAATCGAAAGACAATTCCAAATCATGCCAGGACTTTTTCAACTTTAACATGGATAAAATCTGCGAAAAACTACATCAGAAAAATCAAGTTTGGTCTGGATTTTTGGAAGAAATTGAGATGGATAAAAAATGTCCACTGCAACCGGTATGAAACTATCAGCATTCAGTTATCCTAGCCAAATACATAGCCTATGTATGCGTCAACGCATGTACATACATGCATACATTGTGTGTGTGCATTTGTTTCAAAATGTAAGTGCATACTGGCCACGTATTTAAGTTGTTTCTGTACTATACGAGGGCGATCTACGTAACTCGTTTTAAGTAGTACGCTCCAACGCGATTGATATATTGTAACAATATTTATAAACTTCGAGTAGGCATATAGTTGCATATGTTTTAGTAATTCACATGTTATTTATGTGTAGCCATAGAACTGTGCTAATAAGAATGTTTAGGAACGAATTAAGTAGTATTTATCTCATCACATTATTTTACTTTCAGAAAGTATACCCAATCAAAAACATCGTGATTGATGCAGACGCCATGAAGTACTTCCCTATCAATAACGCTTACTTCAAACTCAGAATAGAGGGTTATATGAACGTTACAAAAATCCTGTGTGTAGACAGCGCATTTACATTAAGTTGCAAGAAATGAAATATTCTTATGAGTTAAGAAGTGTTTGCCACAATTAAGAAATGCTCATCAATTTTAATTGTGAAACAATTGTGTAATCATGATTATAGGCAATACCATCATCTCAATGTGGCATTAAAGATCGAAATGAGATTGTGATAATAAAAGATAACATTGAAAAATATAAATTGATGACTGTGACCTGGAACCAGTTTAATTGAGACCTAGCAGAATTGCCTTGGCAATAACTCAGAACATGAGAGAGACGTGGAAAATCATATGGTTTCCAACATTCTAAATGATTGAGCTTAAGTAGTGTCCAGTAATACTGTATAATAAATTAACAAAGAAAAACAAAAAAAGAACAATATTAATGAACAAATTAAGATTTAGTCTTACCAAAACGCCACTAAGTCTTAACATAGCCTATAACATTTAAATTGTATTTGTGTATTACGTGTGGTCGCTCATAGCTCGAGAAGGGACACAAATTTGCCCCCAAACGAGACATGCATACGCCTTGTAACCAAGAAAAGATTTTATAAAGGTCAAAACTCCGAACAAGTGATCAGTCATGTTAAATGTAGTTTGTGTAGTTCGGCTTCAATATCGAAGCTGTTAGAGATAAAGTTAAGACTATGTGAATGAAGGACAAATACCGAAAATTTGGCTCTGGTTGGAATTAAGGTAAATATAGTTGCTGTAGCTCGAAAACTCAGCACGACAGAAGACAAAATTGTTGGTTTCAGCGGGGAGGTTACAAGAATAGAGACCACAACTCCAAAAATTCTGTCCTTGGTTTGAGTCCTGGTGACGAATATTCAAATGTTCAAGGTTTTAAATTGTTCCCTAAAGAAATTTATGTAGTCATTTCTGTAGAATTCGACTAATGAATAACATATACTTATTTTAAAAGGTTACTTACAAGAAATAACTTCATCTCACATTACGAGCAGATAAAATATAAACATTAATACGAAAAAATCGCAGTGTTCCAAAGCAAATATGCAAACATGGCCCCTGCAAATGGTCGATTAAACACGTGGGCGTAACTTCTAGTCTGGACTGGACCTATATTACCAACATTGGAAACAAACTTGAAAGTCACGTGGTACATCCTTTAATTAAAATCAATAGACAAACGAAAAGAGGGAGATTTTTCACTGTTACACTTCCCCTACCCTTATTTCGAATGTTATATTCAAGGAATGCCAAGACACAACATAATGGAAGACAAAATTACGGGTTTACTGACATAAGAGAAAAACACGCACTAAAAATTAACCCTTCTTGGTCCGAATATTAAGTAAACAATATTTAAGTTTATTACGTCTTCCGCTGGTTGGCGAAGATCAAATAATATCGACTGGCATATTTATTATGTCACTTCAAGCGTTTCTCAATGAATATTAAGGTTAAAACTTCAAAGTGATTAAGAAATATAACATCATAGTATATAACGTAAATATAGGCCTTTAATTTATGTATTTGAGCAAAGATTCGTCATTTTGAGCCTCACTATTACGAACGTCTCATGTGTGTATGGTTATAATGTATATGATTAATTTATGACGGTCTTTGAAATTATCCACTAAAATACAGAGATAACAAAAATCAGGTTATTCATAGTTTCAACAGGATCAGCAGTACTGTCTTAGCAGTGTTTTCAGATTTTAAGAGTAGGAAGTGTAAACACTAACGAATGAAATTATGAAGCCCATCAATTATTCTGATAACCACCAACTGCTGAAAGAAAATAACTTTTGTCATGAAGTCACTCACAATATATGATTTTTCAGACACACTGTACATATCTGAACACCTACATCGTACATTAAGCACGTAATTCTTAGGTTAAACTCGTATGAAAGCATTCTGCTGTAGCAATCCTTAATTCTGTCGCAACTCTAAAAGCAAAAGCCATTAATACAAATAGTAAATGAGCATAACTTATGTATAAAGTGGCTTAACTTCTATCAAGCATAACAAAGAATGTTATCAACCTTTTCGGTTAATGTAAATATTAATGTTTGGAATAACTGCTCCGTAATATATAACGTGTAGTGAATATTTAACTTCAAGTAATATACAAGGCAAGAGTAATTTAGAGAATATCGGAATTATACCAAGTTTGAATTGAAAGCCAGTCTGGTCTCTCATTCTAGTTACGATACACGGACAGAAAAGCTGTCCCGATCACCAAACGGTATTTTGAATTCTAAATACAGCTTATCTTCTTTCATGTTAACACGATAAACATTAGAAAATCACAGTTCATCAACAAACCACTTTAAAACAGTAGATTTTGTGGCCAGAGAAAAATATAAAGGCATAAACAACCAATTCCATATTGAGACACTATGACGTAGATGGCTGTCTTCTAGGTTGCAGCGCCGTGTCATCAGGGCGACTCTTTGCCCTGATGATGGAAGCAGCAAGGATCTCTGAAACGTCGGTAAACTTCTACCTAGTTAGTTACTTATTTGGTTAGTTTAGCGCCGTGTAGTCTGGTAGAAGTTTACCAACGTTTCAGAGGTCCTTGCTGCTTCCATCAAGGCCATAAATCATCGTCCAGAAGACAGCCAACTTCGGACTCACACCAGTGAAAACCTCAAATCCCACATACTATGATGTGGTGACAGGTAATATTTCAAATACACTTTTGTTGGAAATTATTAACTACTTATGTTGCTCTTGTACTAACAAATTATTTTTATATTTGGGCAACACCACGAAGTTTACACTCGTATGTTTATTATTTGTCTCTACTTATAATTCAGACAACAGATATGGAATTATGGAGATATTTGACTCCAGCCGGAAAGCTGTAATTTGTGTGTAAATATAAACATTATTTTTTAAAAAAAAATAGGGTGAAATATTGTAGCTCAGGACAGTGACTACTAATGAGTTCTTGTCAGCATGGTCGATAGTGAAATAAGTTCTTTGAATGAGTTAGTTCTGTGAGAAGTACAAATTAAATGAGAAAGTATTTTAAAATACTTATTATAACAACAATTATTATCATAAAATCAGTTTTACTAATTAGTTTTATTGTAGATCAAAGGGCTTTTGAAGAATCGGACTTCTCAATCCCTCTAACATTCTTTGTCTAATACAGTATAATGCAGCCTACTTGATTCATAAAATATTAAGTAGCATAATGTCGACAGAATTTCGCAAAATTAATTTCTCATATTGTCACGACATTGTCTACCATTCTGTCAACATTCAATTACCCTAAAATGCCTACTACATAGATTCACCAATGTTCATTACAAAATATATTGCTTCTTTTTTCAGGAACGGTGAACGATTACGCCACTGGCAAATGGAAAACTCTATCTACACTTCGTTCTGGGCGGCGTTCTACTGTTCAAAACTTATGGGAGCGATGCCACTCAAGCGCATTGGGCGAAGACTACAATGGTGTGGGATCGATGCCACTAAAGCGCATTGGGCGAAGACTACAATGGTCCTGGGGTTCATTTGTTTATATATTCCTGTTCTCTGTGCCCTGCGTTGTTTACACTTTCGTCACACCTTACGTAATGTTTAAACAAACACAGAACACACTCAACATCTCTAGCTTTGTGCAGATATTCTATTCATCATTGGTAGGTCTGACAGGAATTATTTCACTTGTCATAAGCCTTTGGAAGACTGGTGCTTTGCCTAATCTCCTGGATGAATTCAGACACCTAGACGCCTGCTTGTTACATACACCTCCTAAGACCAATAAGAAAGTTCTCATATATTCATTTTGTCATTGTCTGATAATTGTATCCATATGTGGAACCTTCGCGGCAATCATAAGTTGGGATCACGCAAACCTGTTCACTTTTGGCAACATCATATCCGTAATTCTAGCACAAATGTATCTTGCAACTGCTGAAATCCAATTCGTATGTCTCAGTTATGCTTTATCACAAAGATATAAACACATAAATAGCCATATAAAGAAACTGTGCAATAACGGATTCACGCTCAGAAATGGACCCCATGATGTTTCAACGACAACATCAGAAAATGAAATTTATGTTGCTTTGAACAAATTTCGAAAAAGTCATCGAAGTCTCCATAATATCGGAAGGAATCTCAATAGGATATACGATGGTCAATTATTTCTGTCACTGACCAGCTGTTTCACACTTTCAGTCTGTTGTTTTTATTATGGAATAATAAATTACAATTTAAATAAGTTTTTTACCGCTGCAAGTTTTTTATCGGCCTTTCAATATTTTCTGAGGTTCTACATCATCAACTCTTGCTGTCATACTACAAGTGAAGAGGTAAGATTCTTTGCTATAATACATCTTGATAGTTTTAGTTTCCCAAGACGGGAAAGTTACAAAAGACTAGATGGAAATAAACAATTCAAAGCTTCAAAATTTGCATTATTCGTCACGTATTCAACGGTGATAAAATAGAGAAGGGTGAGTTGGGCGGGACATGTAGCACTAACGTAAAATATGAGAAATCCATACGAAAATGTACGTTAAATAAATAGGGAGGAAGATGGTGGATTCTCGTGAACACGGTAAGAGACCTTTGGTTTTCATAACGGGCGGGAAATTTCTTTACCACCTAAGCGATATTCAGATTACAAGGAATTTTATTGTTATTCGTAAATGTGCCGTAACAAATAAAAATTGTCTTATTACTATGCGTGACTTCTATATCTCTGTACGTCTGTAAATTCCAGAGCAGCATAAAGCTACAAAGATTTAAAACTGTGTGCGGCAGCTTTAATTCATTATGATAAAAGTGGTAGGACCTCTGTTTTGCTCAGAGGACCAGCCGCTAATGTATCGAAATGTCCAGTAACCTCCGTTTAGTTCCGAGGCCAAGAATATTTCAACAGTTGTTTGTATGTCCCCTGACAATCTTACACTCTGATGTCGTAGCGATAAGTAGACCTAAGAGGATAATGCCATTAAATTTCTTGCAGCAGCGTCAGGCTAACAATTTGTAGACAAAATATTCCATTTACAACTTCTTTGTTCCATCATACATTTGTTTTGAGTAAGTGTAGAGTCGAACGATCTGATGTTGTACAGAACACTGCTGGGTTCACCTTCTCAGAGTCACAACAGTATAAATGCTTTTGCCAAAATGTAAGTCCCCTCTTGGGGCACAACTTTTACGTCACTAATCACATTAAACCAATTCTCTTATGCTTTGGTTCAACATTTTGATTGAGGCCCGAACCTCAGCAATGTTCAGTTT